AATCTAGAGGGGATAATCTCTTCTTCCCTAAGGCTGAACCTTCCAGGACCCCAAGAGAAGGCGTGTTTCAAGGGCCTCCCAGAGTGCTAAGCCTCCAAAGCCACCAGGGACCAAGCAGGACTGGAGCTGGCTTTATAAACTCGAGCAAGACCAGAGTGCGTCTGGAGATTTAGTCCTGAGTGCCATGTTCTGTTTGCCTGAGCTACATGTCTTGTCCTCAGGTCTGGATGTGTGGCCTCCCCCGAAACAGCTTTAGGGAGAAGAACCTGAAAGACACAGGCTGGAGAGGGAGTCCCAGAGCCACCCCACGTGGTTGGGCCGAGGAGATCCGGAGTCCCCTCTGGAGGTTCTCAGGCTGGGGAGTGCCGTCTGCTAAGGTTGGTATTTATCCACTGAGTTCCACCGGAGCTGATGCAGAAAGCTGAGGTTGCCTGTTCTCTTCTCCTTCCCTTCCTCCAAAATCCATGCCCACCCATCCCTCACTCAGTCAGCCTTCAAGCATTGCCTGAGATCCCGTGGTATTCAGGGGTCCCGAGCAGTGTCTTCCAGACCCCCATTCGTTATGTGCTCATAGCCAAACTTGATGGACGCTAATGTATGCCCAGCATTTCCTCTGTTTCCAGAAGTGTGCTCGGTACATTGACACATTGTCTTCCAGTCCCCACAGAAACTGAGCGAGCTGAGGCTCAAGGAGGTTAAGCAACCCTACCACGTTTTCTGACTCCTGCCAATGCATCTTCTGCCTCATGTTTCCTGAGATTGATTCCCACCTCCAGGCCTTGTTCTTCCCCATCTCCTCCACCTGCCGCATTGTCCCCATTCTTCAAGGCCCAGCCACATGCCCCCTGGTCCTGAAGCCTTCCCAGATCACTCCATGCCTCAGTTACGCGTCCCTCAGTGGGTTCTTACTGCCATAGGGTGGGCTCCACGCAACCCCACTCTTTCTCACGGGAGCAAGTGTGTCTTTCAACAAAATTTTGAATGGCTGCAGCCATGCCTTATGCTCTTTTGAACAGCAAGTGTTTACATGCTTTGAACAATCGTAACTATTTCAATACTTTTAAATAATAGTAGTGTTCAAATACTTGCTATGTCCTTATTACAAGGAATATTACAAAGAATATTCCTTATTATAACTTATTACAAGGAAACTTGTAATAAGTTTCCTTATTACAAAACTTAAAACAACCTCTGCTCGCAGAAGCTATAATGTGATAGGGAAGCAAAACAACCCCATGGCGGGTAAAGAAAGACTTGGAAACTGACGAAGCCCTGTTAAACAATTCTGAATACATCTGTGTGAGTCAAACTCAACTGTCAGGGTACAACAGTACACAGAATGAGAATTCAGTTGGGAAAAGGAAGTCTGGCCAGAAGTTAGCAGCTGAGGGATGGCTTTGCAGGATTTACGGAGGAAACCTGGAGGTACTTTGAAACGGAGAACCTCAGATTATATCTGGAAAGCTATTGGCCAAGGTGACCACGACTGAGAATTATTAATAGGTGTGCCTCCGGAGGAATGGGAAGGCCATCTGGGAGTTGGGATGGCAGTAGCAAAGGATTAGGAGGGAACACGGTCTTGGGCTATGGGAAGATGAGGGGAGAAGGGGATTGGAAAGGAGAACAAGAAACCTCATTTGCCAGCAAGGAAGATCCAGGAGCTCGGCATAAAAACAAGGCTGAGTATGACTTTGCGTATCCATGATGCGTATCCATCATCCTATCAGAGAAAAATGAAAGCAGTATTCACTGTATGTAGATCAGAGACTCAGGCACATTTGGATTTGACTAGAACTGAGCCCCTAAGAAAATTAGCAAAGAAAGAGTAAGCATAACTCCAAGCTGAACAGTACTGGGATCTCGCCTGTGAATGCCACTGCACTCCAGCCTGGGCAACATAGCCAGGCCTCCTCCCTTAAAAAAAAAAAAAAAAAAAAAAAAAAAAAGAGGATACCCGTGGCCCTGGGTGGAGAACTGGAGCACAGAGCAGGAGGCCAACTCTGCTAGGTTAAATTTCACAGCGGAGTCATATGATAGGATTTTGCCACGCCACCAGAACCCTGACTTTCAGGGTTGTGTATTCTGACCTTTACAATAAATAGAAGGTTGTTCTCTGAAGGGCATGGAGTGTTCTAGTGGATTCTTCTGCAGTCACATAACCACAAGCCCAGCTCTGGGAGGAAGGAGAGGCAGCAAGGCAGAGGGAGGGTCCTGGGAATCTCAGGAGCTAACTCATTCTTCTAAGGCAGGTGTCCTCAAACTTTTTTTTTTTTTTTTTTTTTTGAGACAGAGTCTCGCTTTGTTGTCCAGGCTAGAGTGAGTGCCGTGGCGTCAGCCTAGCTCACAGCAACCTCAAACTCCTGGGCTCGAGTGATCCTTCTGCCTCAGCCTCCCGAGTAGCTGGGACTACAGGCATGCGCCACCATGCCCGGCTAATTTTTTTTTTTATATATATATCAGTTGGCCAATTAATTTCTTTCTATTTATAGTAGAGACGGGGTCTCGCTCTTGCTCAGGCTGGTTTTGAACTCCTGACCTTGAGCAATCCGCCCGCCTCGGCCTCCCAAGAGCTAGGATTACAGGCGTGAGCCACAGCGCCCGGCCTCAAACTTTTTAAACAGAGGGCCAGTTCACTGTCCCTCAGACTGTTGGAGGGCGGACTATAGTTTAAAAAAAAACTATGAACAAATTCCTATGCACACTGTACATGTCTTATTTTGAAGTAAAAAAACAAATGGGCAAAAACACCCACATGTGGCCCGTGGGCCGTAGTTTGAGGACTCCTGTTCTAAGGCCACGGTCTTCAAACTAGGAATGTGTAACCACTAAAGGTACGCGAAGACTTTTCAAAGGGTTCATAGGCAAAACAACTTTAAGGGAACCAATTTCAGAACCTCAGTGTCCATACTCGTTCCCAAAACCAATGTCCTTGAGAACACATCTGGGATGGAAACGCTGTACATCTTTCTCATCTCCCCCTTCATGGTTGCTTCCTCCCGTATTTGAAAAGAAATGCATGGGGATTTTTGTTTGTATGTTGCCCTGGGTAGAGCGCCTTGGCATCAGCCTGGCTCACAGCAACCTCAGAGTCCTGGGTGCAAACAATCCTCTTGCCTCAGCCTCCCAAGTAGCTGGGACTACAGACACATACCATACCTGGCTAATTTTTTCTATTTTTAGTTGCTCAGCTAACTTTTTCTATTTTTAGTAGAGACAGGGTCTTGCTCTTGCTCAGGCTGGTCTCAAACTCTCCTGACCCCAAGCCATTCTCCCGCCTGGGCCTCCCAGAGTGCTAAGATTACAGGCGTGAGCCACCACACCGGGCCAGAAATACATGTTCCTAACCCATCCTGAATCTTATGAGAAGGCATTTCACCAGCACATGCAGGATACTACCCAAAGAGATAATGTGATAAACAAGTGTTGAAAAGTAAATGACTGTAGAATTGCCTATAAAATCCTTTAAATCAGATGGAAATCTTCCAACAGAATGGAGGGAGGATCTTTTCAAATTAACAGATGATAGAGTATTACAAATAAGTTTTGATGACACATCACTATGTGACTCTTGGCATTAACTAAGAAGTTCAATAAATTGAATGCCATTACCATGACAAAAATCCTTATATCCCCACCTATTTATTTACGTTAGCAAAGATCCTCAGAACTTAAGATTTCATATACAAAATATTTGCTAGGGATCACTATGTGAATGGCCAAGATACTGAAATAGATCCTATAAGCTGAACAAAGCCTCCTAATCAGGTATAGAGTAACCTTTTCTTCTGGACAAGTTCACGTGGATTCTTTTTGTGTTCCCTGGGGCACACTGACACAAAGATCCACACCCAGACAGGAAGCTCAGGGAAGAGGCACTCACTGTCAGACTTCTGGGACCAAACCTTTACTTGGCTGATAGCAAATCAGAGGCCCAAAGAGAGGATACCTGCCCAAGGTAACAGAGCTAACAAGCAACAGAGCTGGAAGCAGAAAGGCAGTCTCCATCCTGTCAGTCCAGTGTTCTTTCTGCCATACGCTATACCTGTTACAACAGGTGAGAATAAAGGAGAGGCTGTTCTTCTACATTCTTCTGCACAAGGACACCACATCTCCTCTTTGTCCTCAACATAAACCTGTTTGACATGGATGAAGTAGTTGGAGAGGTTTTCCTGCTGATTTTCAGGATGTAGCCCAGACACTCAAAGAGAAAGGTATGGGGGTGGGGAGCAGAAGAGAGTGGAACGTGTCGGGAGGAAGGAGAGGACTCTTGGCATTTCCAATAATCCCATGGATTAATATCTTGGAGAACAATCAAGCACCCACTAAAACACCATTTCCAAGCTGATGATCTCCCAGGTGACATTCAACTCAATGGATTTGCAGAGGACAAGGTGGTTATGATATCAAGGATGGAATGCCCTAAAGCATGTTTAAATACAAGACAGAATGAATACTAATACATGCTACCACATGGATGAACCTCAGTGACATTAAGCTAAGTGAAAGAAGCCAGAGGCAGGCAGGGCAGGGTGGCTTATGCCTGTAATCCTAGCACTCCAGGAGGCCAAGTTGGGAGGATGGCTTGGGGTCAGGAGTTCAAGACAAGCCTGTGTAAGAGTGAGACCCCGTCTCTACCAAAAATATAAAAAGTTAGCCAGGCATGGTGGTGCACACATGTAGTCTCAGCTACTCAGGAGCTGAGGCAGGAGGATCGCTTGAGCCCAGGAGTTTGAGGTTGCTGTGAGCTAGGCTGATGCCCACAGCACTCTAGCCCAGGCAACAGAGTGAGACTCTGTCTCAAAAAAATAAAAAAGAAGAAGCCAGATGCAAAAGTCCATATATTATATAAATCCATTAATATGAAATGTCCAGAATAGGCAAATCCATAGAGACAGAAAAGACATTAATAGTTGCTGGGTGTTCTCCCTCATCGTACCTTGCACAGGATGGACATGCTCTAGTAACACTGCTTGAGTGATTATCAATTGTCACCTCTGCAGATGACACCCGGAGAACTAGCCCTCATCAGCGGCAACCACACTCCAGTTACCAAGTTCATCTTGCTGGGATTCTCCAATTATCCAGACTTCCAGGAGCTTCTCTTTGGAGGCTTCCTGCTCATCTATGCCATCACAGTGGTGGGCAACCTGGGAATGGTGGCACTCATCTTCCTAGATGCCCGTCTCCATAGCCCCATGTATTTCTTCCTCAGTGTCCTCTCCTTCCTTGACGTCTGTTACTCTTCCGTGATCACACCCAAGCTCTTAGTCAATCTTCTGGCCTCTGACAAGTCCATCTCTTTCAAGGGCTGTGTAGTCCAGATGACCTTCTTTGTAATGCATGCGACAGCTGAGAGCTTCCTGCTGGCCTCCATGGCCTATGACCGCTTCATGGCCATCTGCCAACCCCTCCATTATGGTTCTATCATGACCAAGGGGACCTGTCTCCAGCTGGTGGCTGTTTCCTATGCCTTTGGTGGAGCCAACACCGCTATCGAGACTGGGAATGTCTTTTCCCTGCCTTTCTGTGGACCCAACAAGGTAACACACTACTTCTGTGACATAAAACCCCTTCTCCAGCTGGCCTGTGCCAACACAGCCACAGCAGGAGTGGTCCTTTACGTCTTCTCTGCTCTGGTCACCCTCCTGCCTGCTGCAGTCATCCTCACCTCTTACAGCTTGGTCTTGGTGGCCATTGGGAACATGCGCTCAGCAGCTGGGCGGAAGAAGGCCCTCTCCACATGTGCCTCCCACTTCCTGGCCATTGCTGTTTTCTATGGCACTGTAGTCTTCACCTATGTCCAACCCCATAGATCCACTAACAATACCAATAGCCAAGTAGTGTCCGTCTTCTACACCATCATAATTCCCATGCTCAACCCCTTCATCTATAGCCTCCGCAACAAGGAGGTGAAGGGCGCCCTGCAGAGGAAGCTCCAGATCAACATCTTTCCCTGCTGAGCCCCGCAAGGTTGTTTGTTGCAAAGAGAAAGACATAGCATCTTCCAAATCACGTTATGAATTGACCTAACCAAGACCAGCCCTGGTTTTGACGGAAGTACTAGAAGTAAAGGAGAAACAGCAAATATCCTTTGCAGTTAACAAAACGTCTTCTTAGTCACTACGATATTGAATTCTCACCACCACATTGTGAGACAGCCATTGTTACCATGATCCTATTTTAAAAATGAAGGATACAGGACTCAGAAAAAATAAGTCAATTACCGAAAGTCATACAGTTAGTGAGAGAATGAGTATTTGACATCAGGGCTTCTACATCGAGACCAGAGATATTGCAAATATATCACAGCCACGACTTAAGTGTCTATTGGCAGCTCATCATAACTTGCAAGAAACATCAGACAAAGCACAACACAATCACTTCTGTTTTGCCACTGATTTAGTGGGCTGGGAGTGGGCAATAAATGACTCAGTCCTTTTTTCCTCTTGTAAAAAGAAAGATAAACAGGATAGAGATGTCCTTATTTCTTATTGCAACTACGGTGTGCTGAGCTGTCTCAGTATAACATCAGGATCCAGAGAGATCTTTCCTTGTACACCTGTATCCTAGCCAGATGTATGTGCCTGTCTCATAATTCTCAAGGGTATGTGTGTGTGTGTGTGTGTGTGTGTGTGTGTGTGTGTGTGTGTGTGTAATTAGGCAGTTATAGCATTATTTTAGACACTATGCTTTAGGAAACTGATTCAAATTTTTTTTATATTTAGCCCAAGTGTCTTTAAATATACCTGTCATATGGTAAGTATATACGTTTTAGAGAATCACATTAATGAAGAAGCTAGGCCAGGCACGGTGGATCACACCTGTAATGCTAGCACTCTGGGAGGCAGAGGCAGGAGGATTGCTTGAGGTCAGGAGTTTGAAACCAGCCTGAGCAAGAGCGAGACCCCTGTCTCTACTATAAAAGAAAGAAATTAATTGGCCAACTAATATATATAGAAAAAATTAGCCAGACGCGGTGGCACATCCCTGTAGTCCCAGCTATTTGGGAGGCTGAGGCAGCAGGATTGCTTGAGCCCAGGAGTCTGAGGTTGCTGTGAGCTAGGCTGACGCCACGGCACTCACTCTAGCCTGGACAACAAAGCGAGACTCTGTCTCAAAAAAAAAAAAAAGAAGAAACTGAACGTGAAGACCTAAATCAGGGTTGAACATTGGATTGGAAAGCATGCTGTTAAACTAACACAAAGTCCTAATCTGAACTAAATTGGCTTCAGCCTGGATTTTGGATTATTTAAAAGCTTTTTTTCCATCTATATCTTAAGAAAATTATTCTAAATACAGGAAATCTTGCTATACAAGTAAATCTATCACAGTATCATGTGTGAAAAAAAAATTGAAAACAACCTAAATGTTCAAAAGAGAAAAGGGATTTAATGATTCATCTCTTAGATGGATTATGATGCAACCATTAAATATTATGCTTGTAGGCCATGCGTAGTAGCTCACACCTGTAATGACAACACTTTGGGAGGCTGAGGCAGGAGTATTGCTTGAGGCCAGGAGTTCAAGGCTGCAGTGAGCTACGATCAGGCCACTGCACTCTAGCCTGGGCAACAGAGTAAGACCCCATCTCTAAAAAAAAATTTTTTTTAATTATGCTCATGAAAACTATGTAATAATATGAAAAACAGCAGGCTAAAACAGCTAGAGTACAATCACAACACTGTAACAAAAATGAGTAGTGGAAAAGCACACAAAAATATAAACGAAGTTTGTGTTAGAAGGATAGAACAATGGGAAAAAAATGTTTTCCTATTTTTCTCAAAAATTTTCCAAAATTTTTTAATTAGCATGTTTGATTTTGATACTTTATTCTAAAAATGAATAATTTTTAAAATCCTTTCCATGAAGCTGAGTGTGAAAATTTCTCACTTTTGTCTTTTTTCATTCAGCAAATATTTACCAAATTCCTCCTGTGCTCCACCTTCTCCTAACTTATCAACTAAGTTTTTAGTGCATGCCTGCAGTTGAGGTCAGGACTAGGACACTGTGATAAAGAGAATTAGTAAAAATTAATCTAATTCATTCATCTGGAAAAATATTTACTTATAGGCCCTAGGTGGATTAACAGAACACATATTAGGCAGATAGTTTATGCTACAGTAATAAATAAACCCCAAAACATCAGTATCTTCATACCACAAAGGTTTTCACCTATGCTGAATTTGAGACATATCAGATGACCGTCCAGGGAAAGTTATTCAGCTAGTGACTCCGTATCGGAGCCCCTTTCAGAACTTGCAATGCCACCATGTCACTCTGGGCACTCCTAGCTTTTAGTAATGGGAGAAATGGTCAAAGTCACGTAGAATGTTTTTAAGGACTTGGCCTGAGGTTGGCTCATATCATTCAACCTATGTGTCATTGGCTTGAAACCAGTCTTACAGGCTCAACATAGAAGCAAAGGAGACTGGAAATATAGTCTTCTTTTTCACCAAAGAGAGGAAAAAGAAATATGATTTAGCAAACACATAGTTTTGTTTATACCTGGCCAACTGGACGCTTGGGTAGGCTGTCATCTATAAGGGATATTAAAACATCACTTGAATAAATCAAGAAATCAAATGCTGGTTGATGCTCATGTTTCTACATAATTGAGGTGTACCATTTCCTTGGGTGAAAATTTTAAAACATTCCTTGCCTGGTCTCTGTTGAGTATTTTCGAATACACACCCAAGTTGTGTGGTGCCACTACAAGCAGAAAAACTAACTCTGAGACCAGTTAGTTGATGGTTGCCTGAAGTTGGAGGTCACAGCTACCCTGAATTCTAAAACTAAATAACACATATCACAGTGATATTTACTATGAGTGATTTTTGTCCAAGGTTAAACCCTATGATGTATTACCCAAGAAGTGGTACACACACAAACACATACATTTCCTGAAGACAGAATTTTAAAAAACACACCAAAAAAACCACTTTAAAAACATGAAAGTCAGAAAAAAAATGCACATATGATGTGACTGTACAGTACAATTTAATAGAGGATAATAGAGTAACCATCAGTTGCTATCCACCTCAACTATATAGATATTGAACAAATATTAACAGAGTTTCAATCTGAAGAATGATAAATTATTATCCCGCCCCATTCACTGCTGTAGCCCCGGTGTCTAGAGCAATGCCTGGCACATCATAGGCACTAAATAAATGTCTGTCCCATAAATGAACGAACAAGCATTTACATGGTATTTTCCTTGGGCCAATAGAACTGTCACCACCTGAGAGCTTTTAAGAAATGTATTAATAGAATCTGGGGCCTCACCCCAGACCTACTAGATCAGAATCTGCATTTTAACAAGATCTCCGGGTGATTTGTGTGCACATTAACATCCGAGAAGCACTGATCCATACGACTCAATCTGTCACCTATTTTTAAATATAGTTTTAATTATGTTTTAAAATATTTTTAAATATACATGAAGACAAAGACAGAGATGAGGACCACAAAGATGACGAAGAACTAAAACCAAATCCAGATATTTACACTCAAATCCCATGGGATTTTCACTACACCATGCCTCATGCCTTTGCCCCAAGGCAGTAAATGTACGGACTCCAATGAATTTATCCATTTCTTTCTTTCCCTCCCTCCCTTCTTTCCCAGTCTCACTCTGTCCCTCTGAGTGCAGTGGCGTTATCATAGCTTCCTCCAACCTCAAACTCCTGGGCTCAAGCAATCCTCTTGCCCTGGCCTCCCAGAGGGCTAGGATTACAGGCATGAGCCATGGTGCCCAGCCTGAATTTATCCATTTCTAATGATCACGCTGCAACTGGATGGACCAAAGCCCATGATAAAAATAGATAAGCTATTAGAAATTTCAGTGGCTTGATCATTTTTATCTAGATATTTCAGAAGAGAGAGTGTGGTTAGAAAAGTTATTTTCTTATTCAGACAATATCTGCCTTTAATAATACATAATGCTTTCCTGAAGAATGTTTTGGAAAGTGGAATGGCTAAAATTTGAACTTTATACTTAAATATTTTATTTGGTGGGAGAAGGAGAAGGAAGCGAAGAAGGGAGGGGGATTTAGTTTTCAATTAGCAATAATCTCACCTTGGATAAACCTCATTGGCCACGGTACTGCCACCGTGCAAAGCTAAGGGAGGGGGAGTTAATCCAGAAACCCGAAGAAAAAAATCATGAAGTCTCAAAACACGCTATAAATGCTTAATCTGATTTTACATCAGAATGTTACACACTGTATAAAGAATATCTGAACTATTAAAAACATTGTACTTTAAATATTGACAATAAAATTTAATTTTCTGGTGTAACCTCACAACTCAAATTTCTTCTTCATTCAGTTTACTTGAAATGGTATTTGGTACATTCCCTGAGATCAGGGGTTATAGAGCACAAAGGAGTAAGGATGGGACGGAAAGAGACACTGCCTGGTCCTCTTGTCCAACGTATGCTGGCATTTCCACCCTTATTTCCATTTGGTTTCCAATGGCCAAACCATGAAGACCATAGTCATGACCCCACGTCCCAAAAGGACAGCTTCTCTAGGCTCTCAGCTCCTCCCCGTCCCTCTCAGAGCACACTGAACACAGCTGCCCATTCGCCCATGGCACACCGGGTCGATGGGAAGCTTGTCCCAGCCCTGTCGCCTGGCCCTGCCACACAGCCGTTTCTTCTCCACGGACCTTGCACTTCGAGAGGAGCAGAAGCTCTAGGGAATGGGCCACAGGACTCCTCCCTCGGGACTCACCAGACTCAAAGCTCACTTCCCCTCTATCTTCACTTTAGGAGCCTAGGGAATTTTTATCTAGCCCCGTTTAAGAGAAAGGAAGGCACTGGAAAAACTAGCTCTAACTGATCAGATATTCTGTGATCGTATGCCCCGTAGTTAAGGCTTGAGTTTATTCCCTGGGTTATTGATGGTTCTGGCTTTTGAAGTTCAAAAGCATTTTAATCACAAAGGTTTTATCTCTGCCTTGAGTTTCCAAAACATATTTTAAACCTCAAAGGCCAGGGACTGACTTCTTTGGTATCTGCACTATGCTACAACAACCCTACCCTGAGGCATGGCTGCCAAGAGGTCAAGTTTGAATATGGAAGGACTACTGGATAAAAAAATATATATATATGTTATCTGAAAAACATTTCGGTCTATCAAAATAATACTCTCTTACACATAATTGTAAAGATTCACCCATGTGCTTTATCACAATGCCTTTTTAGCCACAAACTTTGCCAATGTATTTATAATAATTTGTACACGTGTTATAAGTTTTGTTGTTTTCCTTTATAATTGAACACAGTTGTCAGACTTGCTTCAATTCAATAAGCCTCAAATTTACTGTTTTTGGCATACTAAATGATATCTTCCTTTGTCTCAATTGTAAAATCATTAACATCAGCACTTTATTTTTCCATATTCCAGTATTCCTTTATAAATAAGGGCAAATATGCAGTAAAATGCTCAAATAATTGCACGAACATTGCCATATTTAGATGGCAATACTGCTAAAATAAAACTATTGGCTGGCAGACAGCAGTGCCATAATATAACTTGAAATAGCTTTTTGTCTACTGAAATAAGAAAGTCAGAATTTGCTATAGAAGAGAAGTATAGAAGTATTG